TAACTTCACAAAATTGAAAACATCAATTTATTGCATACTTTAAGGGTTCTGTGGAAATTTAAAATAAATTGAAACTAAAGTAAAGCATTATTTGTATATTAACAATATTTTCTTCTTTACTATCATCTCTCTCACTTACTCAGTCTCCTTAATAACATCGCCCCATAGGCAACGTCGACAAATTGTATTCGTAAGTTTGTTGGAAGAGTAGACGAAGTTGAAAAAAAACCTATCTCTGGAGAGAGAAAAAAAAACGACTTCCTTTATATTCAGCTTTGTTACGTTACTTTACAATTGAGTGCACAAATGTTTCCGTTAAAGTAAGTTGCGGCACAGTGCATCGAAGAAGAATTTAATTTTGAAATTATTTTACTTTAAAGAGCTTCAATGTAAACGAGGCCAATCATGTGTTAGCAACCGTGCTTTTGCTCATGGTGCATTAAATGGGCCTTCCAGCAGGAATAAATTATCAAAGTTGAAGCTGTCAGGAAGTCATTGTGAATGGTCAAATAGATTTTCCGGCAGGAATAAACGATCAAAGCCATAGCCCAAGTATGAAGTCCCCCTGCCAATCTTGCTGACTACTAAATATTATGTTAAAATGTATTATTGAAATCACAAAAAAATAAATTTTAAAAATTTACAATATATGCAGGAACAATAAATAGGTCTCTCAGCAACTATCTAAATGAGGTCTACCTTATTGTGAATTATTATCTAGTAAACCAAAACAAAGATACCAAAACAAATGTGTGGCATTTTGAAAATTCCGACACTGTGCAAAATTTCCATTGTTTACACACATTTCTGCAACAACAAAAATATTTTTTACAAAAAATCGAAAGGTTAAGTTTTTCTTACAAAGTTAATATTTTCCCGAAAAAAAAGAGAAATATTGAATTGCATTGCTTTTCCATTCCCAATGATGGAATAGATAGATGGCTAAATTTCTTTGTGTGTCACAGTTTTGCCGTTGGCTTCTTTGTGAATGTGGACAAACAGTTGAATCGGTTGCCATTACTGTTTTCAGCATCTTAACTTTCCAATGTAATGCATTTGAATTTTTTTCTTGTTGGCTGCCGCAGCATTTAAATTCATATTATCTTTATCAAAAATATTTGGACAGAATATGAGAAAAGAACTGTGAAGTAAGAAGTATAAACATTTAAAAAGAAATCTTAAATTCATACAATATTTTGTGGCGCAATAGTTAGATTTTTCCTATTTATATATTGATTGGAATTTGTTTATCTTCCATAAAACAATTTCAATTTCAAACAATTACAATACTGGAACAAGTTGTGTGAAACAATTGTCAGAGGTGAAGAATATTTAAATTTAACAAGTAAACTAGCAGCTAAGATAAGCCGGCCGAATTTTTAACCCACAATAATGGTGGGTTTTACTATTGAACTGGGGTTGCCTAGTTTGTTTGGTTGTAAAGTAGGGATGTTTAGGTCGACTTGCGATAATTCGATTCTACAACTTTTCGTAATCTACGGTCCATGGTAGAAGAATACAGGTAGTCAAATCGACACAGCTGCTGGGACAATGAACTGTCAAACCGATTTTGGAATTAAAAACATTGAATGAAAAATTATTGAAATTTGTGAAAATTGTTGAAAAATGTATATCGTAACAACCTTCGATTTGCGTCGTATGCAAATCTACTTATTTTTGACAAGACATTTAAAACATTTTGTCATATCAACGCTTGGGAACATTGATATGTTAAAATTTTTGGTTTACAGAAAATGTTATTGTAAAACTGCTCTGTAATTATGTTTTTTATTCTAACATGTCTCTGTTGTGAGCAGCGACACTACATATTTTTCACAATAACTATTTTTTCATAATACACTCTGTCCAGCGTTTATCATTTTAAGTCTTTGTTTATTATTGAGCAAGGGTTACATAGTTTGTTTGGTTATAAACTAGGGAGACGTAGGTCGATTCTCAATTATTTGATTCTACCACTTTTCGTATTGTTAAAATCGCAAAGAGAAGATCGATTTTCCATTTTTACCAACTGTTTTGCAGAAGACAAAATTCTTAAAGTCGTTTTTTTTTCTTTCTTCTTTGTTTCTCTTTACTAATATTCTATCAAAGTAGATTCAACATTGGCGAAATTAATGACACCATAAATTCAGGATCCTAGGTATGATTTTTCAATAAAGACTACCCTCCTTATATCTGATTACACAGCAATGCAATGAAAGTAACAAGATCCAATTTGGGGACAAATGATATTTCTTTGCATATTTATTTAATTTATTTGTTTAAATCTCATTTCGCCATCTGCAGATTGCGATTCTTTTTGGGCCCAATAAAAATGACTTCGTAGTTATTTCCATATTTTTTTGCTTGCTTTCTATTTACTCTTACTTTTTAGTTGCTGTTTTTATTTCCCTGGCTACTGCCTCTAATTCATCTCGAAATGATGCAGTCAGCAAATGTGTACGGCCCAGAAAGGTTCACTAGTAATAAAACCAGAAAATAAATTCCAATAAAAATTTACCATTTTTTCTCCATGCCAATGCTCAGTGAGTGTGTTGCCTCACGTTTTTTACCCCCGCCCACCCACTAGATTAAAGAAAAAATCGCAGTGTATTAAAATTTCCATTTTTTGTCGCTTATTAAAGTCCTTTTTTGTTGCTGTTGTTGTTTGTTTGCAATACTTCTGCTCTACTCTACTCCTACTTTTTTTTGCAACATCCTATTCATATCATCATTATTTTATTATGCCGCTTTTTTCTCCTTCTTCAGCTGCTTCTATATTCTGTGATGTTTTCTTTTTTTTAATAAATATGAATACAAAAAGAAAATATAGTAGCAAAAAAAAGCAACTGCAACAAACAAAACGTGGAATTTTATCAAACGACATACTAAACACACTCTCTCACTCACTCTCTCTGGCCCACAACAAACAGATCTCGGCGAAAACGTGCCACAACCACAAATGGGATGAATCCATAACGATGGTCGGGCGGGAGATGAGTTGAAGGTAGCCGGTTGATAGACGGAGTAGAAACAGAACTATGGTATCAACATATTTCATGAATATTATGTAAATTTTTTTATTATTATATATTTTTGTTGTTGTTATACTATATACATTTTTAATAAGAGAGCGAGGGAAAAAACATGTTGCTTTAATGTTTCTGCTTGGGCAAAAAGTAGTGCAAACGGACAAGGATAATGTGAGAGGGCGATGTGCTGCAGAACACATTGTTGGCTATGCCAACAAATAGATAAACACATCTATTTAAGTTTGTTGGTATTTCAAATCACATTGTGACGCTTTAAATAGAATTCTTTTGACATATGTTTTGCGTTATCCTTTGGGGTCTGCATAAAAAATTTTACCTATAATGGGTTATAATTGGAATGTAAATGCTGGCAACAATCCTAGGAACTATCCATGTCGCAATAAAATTCGACTTCAGGTAGCACAATTAATCAACTCCAAAACTGCCCAAAATATTATTGTGAATGATTGTCAAAAGTTAACAACATGAACCAATATCTTTGAAAAATATACTGTGTAGAATCAAAACCAATTACTCGATTCTCAAGGTGAGAATATATAAAACGCTGTGTAATGAGAATAGAATCCAATCTCCCTCTTCGATTGTCAACTCTATTCTCTATTTGGCTCGACTGAAGCAATATTAAGGGCTGAATGATTTGGTTGTTGATTCAATTCTTTATCCGGCTCGAAAGACCAATGTAAATGAGAATAGAATCCAATCTCCCTCTTCGATTGTCAATTCTATTCTCTATTGAGAAAGAGATACAACCGCAACGCTTGGGTGTAGATTCCATTCTCGATCCGGCTCGAAGCATCAATGTAGAAAGGGAGAAAATAAAGGACAACCATATTCTTTGGATGTAGTTTCAATTCTAGATCCAGCTTGAAGGATCAATGTAAATTAGAATAGAATCCAATCTCCCTCTTCGATTGTCAGTTCTATTCTGGATCCTGCTCGGAGGATCAATGATTTTAATAATGTTTTGACCTCTTTGGCAAGTAAACACGATCACTTTGTTTGTTTACTAACTGCTGGACAACGAAGGTTCTCTCATCGGGGAAAACCAAATTCGGCAGTTCACCACTTTCGCCCAAGCGAAGCAACTCTTTAGCTCTTTTAAGTCTATTTTCTTTCTGTTGCGGTGTAAGTTCTTGCACTTTTTGCAATTTCAATGGCTTTCATTCCAAGTTCATTTTCAATGGAATGGAATATTGCAGGAAATTGCAGCTCACGAGCCATTTTTCGGCCACTACGACGCGCGTTTCGATTAAACCTCTTCTTTTCTTTTCGAACCATTTCTACTAATGTTGTTGTTTTCTTCCGTCCACTTCCTTGACGTCGGGCTACGCTACCAGCATCACGGTAATGAGCGATGAAAGATTAATTCACATTTAAATGCTGGAGTGCTCTAACGATAGCCACTTGTGGTTTTCCAGCCAAATATAAAGAAATCACACTATAACGCTTGAATTCCATCACGAATAACTTTTTTTCTGGAAAATTCTCACCAAAATGCTTTTGTACGCTTCTAAACAATATAATGAGCTGTCACTGGTATAATTTTAACAGCTGTCGGACGAGTGGCTTAGAAATGACAGCAGTCTGAAATTGGTTGCAGTTTTTTTCAACACACCCTGTTTTTTCATACGAATAATTCACAATAAAGATGCACTTAGCTAGTTAAGAGGAAAACAGCTGGTCATCCAGTAAGACATATAAGACATCAAGACCAGCTGATCATCGAATTAAATAGCGAATTGTATTATTGTGACTGAAATCGAAGATAAATATAATTTCAATTCAAATAACATTCATAAATTTTGTTTTGCTTGTTCGTTTTTTATTTAATGATAAAAATTTTAAAGCTTTGCTAATTATTCTTTAACTTCTTCTTTGCTTATTTTCAGGTTTAACAGCAATAATGAAAAATAGTTTTTTATACAAATCACACGAAAAAAACACAAACAAAATGTCAATGCCTTTTCTAAAAAAAATACCTACCTACCTATATATTGTGAATTATAAAATCGCAAAGAAAATTATCTTTAAAGCAATATAAAACAACAACAAGTAAAACCTGCAATATTTACCCAAGCAACAAAAGAAAACCTACCATTCACAATAATGTCGAACAAATTGAGAGATCCCACAAGAAATGTGAAAATCTCGCAAGATTTATTTCCAAAACAAAAGCATTTTTTGGAAAACAAGAAATATTACCTACAACGATAGACGGCAACAAGACAAGGAATACAATTCCCTATTTGTTATAAATCGAAAGAACAAGACACATTTAATGTTTTAAAGTCAAATACACAACGCATACCAAAGGATTACTCATTTAGAGAGAGGGGATCCCCTGAATTTTGTTATTTGTTTAGCCACGTTTTCCCTTAATATACACTTTTCTTTCACTATTTCTCTCTCTTTTAACACACATACCTCTCTCTCTCTCCTCGTGTGGAGAATGTTATATTTTGTTGTTGTTCCCCCACGCATAATACAATTTAATTGTGGCTACAAAAACAATTAATCAATCAACAACGGAATTAAATTATTTCAAACCTTTACGAACAACAAGAACAAAACACACACACAGAGATCAGCAGCTGCCGCAGGTGCGCCTAACCAATATAAAAAGGTTTTCTGTGTGGACAGACAGAAAAAAAAATATTGTCAATTATTTTGAATATTTATTTGCAAGTAAGTTACGTATTTATTTTTATCTATGTTTTGTTTTGTCTGTTATGTCCCTCTGTCCGAAGCAAGTGAGATGAGGTGTGAATAATTTAAACCGACAACAACAAATCAATTGTTCACCTTTTCTCACACTTTGGAATGTTTGTTGCAATTCTTGGATATTTCTTTGTACCCAAATGTATATGTTGTTGTTGTTATATTAGATTAACAAATTCTGGTATCACTTTGCGTGTGTTGTTGTGGTTTTTTAATTAAATGTGCTTTTATTTACGGGCATCAGTTTTAATAATTTCATTTTCATAAGCTCTTCCCTTAATTATATTTGCACTTGCTTGCTTTTGCCCGCCGTTTACGGTCGAACACAATTTGTTTACTCTCACTCTCTATCTCTCTCTTTGTCAAACTGTGTTTTCTCCTCTCTCTATATATATATAATAGAGTTGTATTTTGATGTGTATTTGTTGTTATAGCGAATCATTGTTAACCGCAACCCTGACCCCGTTGTCTATAAAAGATTGCATGTGTTGTCTTGAAAGAATCATTACCAACAACTATATAGGTATTATCATTGTTTTTGATTAAATAATTCACAACAATAAAAGTTTAATCAGATAAACAGTAATATCACACTATTGTGAATACTTGCAAGTATTGACGTCTCAATAGAGAAACAGCTGATTAAACATAAATAAGGTGGACGATCTGATCTGTTTGACAAAAAGAACATTTTGCATTTTTTCTTTAAAAAAATATTTTGTGTAAATGCATTTACACAAACAAAACAATTAAAATATACTTTTAAATTCGCATTTTGTGATGTAGTATCTTAGATGGATTTAAAAATAATGACAGAACAAAGAATGAAAAACATTTTACCGTTTAAAGGTGAAAATAGTTAAAAAGGGATTTTTCAAAATCAATCCGAGAAACAATGCATGAAAAATTCAAAAAATTATGACAAACCCTTAAAAAAATTGTACTCACAGGGAACTCTTTGTGTAGAATTTTAGGCAATAACATTGAAAAATGTGGTTAAAATTATCAAAATACCGAATATCGGGGGTACCGTTATATTAGGGCTATACGATATAGTGGACCGATATAGTCCATCTTCGAACTTGACCTGCCTGCAAACAAAAGACAGATCGCTGCAAAATGTTAGCTTCCTATTTTTATTCGTTTTGACTCAACTTATAATCTTACTTTGTTGGGTCTAAAATTATTATTTCCTTGACTTACAAACGGAATAACGAACTTAATATACCCTCCACACTATGTATGGTGGAGGGTATTAAAAGGCATGTCCTATAACCTATTGTTTTTATAGGAATCGGAATTCCAAGGAAAACATTCCATGGAGAACATCCCATTAATGTCCTATAGTTACGCTAATGGGAAAATAATAAAATATAATGGTGAGTATACATAAAACGATTTTGTTGACTGGGTTCTTCGGAATAGAACAAAGGAGCATAGGCCCAAAATCTAAGTCAACCTAAAACTCTTTTGTTCCTCTACGAAGAAGCCAGTCGATGACTTAAGCCAGTCAACAAAGCGTTTTATGTACTCCCACCTTAATACTCTTGTTTAGCTTAGTTTTTTATCCGATGTCGGACTACATCCGCCTTTGAAATTTGCTTCAATGCTATAGACTAGAGTATCTTTCTTATGTATAAATAATTTGAGCAGAATGCCAAATTTAATCCGAAAACAATCGAAAATTGTAGGCTTCTACAAAATATTTCATTATTCTGTTAAATAAAATAATTTCCAAAGCATTTACTTATGAACCACCCTAACAAGTTACTGCTTGCATCCAGGCATGCACACACATTCAACTCTTCACATTTTTTTGTTTTGTTCCATTCTGCACAAAAAAAGTTAATCAAAAACAAAATTGTTGTAATATCTTCCATTGTGATCTTCCAAATTTGTTTAACATGTCAATCGATGTTTCGCAAATACAACCCTGCTGGAATAAAATAACTCACAATAGCGTCCTAACCACACTTACTCAACCACTGTGAATGACAGGTAACGATGGGTTGTTTACATGAAATAGCACGAACATATGTTTTTTTCTATCAATCATTGTTATAGAATTTTTTGGATGCATCTTCTTTTGTTGAAATCGCGATAAATCTAAAATGGCAGAAAGCGATAGTGTTTTATCATATAACTAACAATGTTTTGTTAACAAAAAAATAACAATTCTATTAACTTCTACAAGCAAACTTTAAAATAAGCAGCTTGCAATTCTTCGAATGCTGAACGCTTTTAAACTTGTATCTTGAGAAAATTTTGAGAAAACCATTGATGCAGGTAATACAAGAAGAGTTCATAGTACGACAAACCCACCCCTATTTAGTATGTTAGATTCCCAAGGGAGTCTTTCGCTGTGCTGCCGTAGTATGAATGTCCCACCAATAAAATTAAGTTAAGATCGTGTAAGGTATAAATTAAAAAAAATAAATTTGATTTTATTATATTTTTTGTCGCAAGAATATTATGTGAAATTGTTGCAAATTGTTTATGTGTGAATGTGTGTTTTTTCATGTTGTTTCGTTGATCTTTAATTGTTATTAACTTTCTCTTTTTTGTTTTTTTTTGAACTTTCTTCTAGCATGGATGACTATGAATATGAACGAAAAGTGCGAAGAGAACGTGAAAAATCGGAAAGGCAGCAAGTACAAGCATCATCATCGTCAAATCGCGAGGTAGCATTATTCTCTGAGCCTCGTCGCGTAAATCCATCCGAGGATGATGATGACATTGCTGCCAAATTGGGTGACTACTCCAAAGTCAAAGATTTTATTAATCTTTATACGGTGGGCATTTCGAATTCAGGACACCGGCAAATGCCCCCTAATGCCGTACTGCCTGGCATTGTGCCCACAAGTCCAGCATCGTCGTCGCTAATATCGCCAATGTCGTCCTCCTCATCGTCATCATCGCGTTTGCAGCCTCCACCTCCGCCACAATCACAACAACCACCGCCGTCACATCACTATCAACAACATCAACAGCAATTAAGACAAGCGCCTTATGTCAAACAGGCTGATAATAAACCACCTTACAATGGACGTGGTGGCTATCCAGGGCAATCGGTGAATCGTTTAAGTAGTGGCATGGCACCACCCAAAGGTCCACCAGGTTCCTTGTTGCCTCCTTCCTCAACACATATGCCAAATGGACGTCAAACGTCATCATCATCGTCTGCATGTGAAAAATCATATCTGGGACCGCCATCGGCATCATCATCAACGACGCACAATGGCCGTTTCTCGCAACCTTCAATACCAAAACAACGCCAAAAACCAGCATTTCATACTGAGGTAAGCATTCATTACTGAATAATTTCCTGATTATTATATATCCCAGTGTTTGCATGCCAGTCCGAAGATCTGAAAAGTTGTGCTTGATGATGCCAAGGTGAATTTTGTTTGGAAATGCCATAACCAATACCTAATGTCGCATCACGTACACACCTACATGGTCAAATAAAAAAATTTTGTTGTCAGTATTTAATTTGTTTTCCGCAAATTGCTTTAGGTCATCTACTAACTTTTGCACAACACATAAGCTAATATTTAATTTAATTTGTATTTGTACAATTTCAGGAAAATGATATCAAAGAAATTCTTAATCAAGTAACAACAGCATTTCGTCCTCCTAAAATGCTGACTGGCATCGATGCCACACCGCACAATACTCTAATGGAAAACTATAATCTCAATGAGCCGAATAAGCACAAATATAGCTTTGATATATCGGAAAAAACGAATAGTATGATTGAGCCATTGGATTCGTCGCCGCCACATAACGATATGCCAGCACCGCGATATGTGCCTCCCCTATCAGCAGCAGCAACACAGATGCCTTCTACACAATCTGCCTCCAATAATTTATCATCATCGTCATCCTCGTACTCTTCTTCCACAACCTCCAGCACCTATATAGCACCACCACCTGCCGCCAATGCCTCTTCAGCTTCAGCCATTAATAATATGACATCTACCTCCGCCTCCACTGGACTGTCGCTGTCTTCTTCGTCATATTCGTCAATGCATAATGCTGCCATAACATCATCACCTACAGTGCCACTATCACCTTTAATGGGTCGAACTAAGGATACTGGTTTCCTGAAGCCCTTCAAGTCTGAGAAGCCAACACCCCCACCTATAGAAAATCGTAATAATACATTGGAGAATGATTTGGAGCTATCAGAATCCGATGATGATCGTGTGAAGCTCTCCTCACACTCAGCTGTGAACTCTAGTGACAGTTCTCAATCTGATTCCAGTGAGTCTGGCAGTGAATCTTCTAAAAGTGAAACAAATCAGAGCATTATTCCCGCAGCGACCCAACATCATTTACAGCAACACCAGCAACAGATGTCAAGTTCTTTGGCATCGAAAAAGAAAATTGGACCAGGTTGCACAGCCAGTAGCGGTAGTAGTTCCTCCGGATTGGGTTCATCGGCTCCGCCCTCCGGCGGTTCGTCTTCATCGTCATCGAACAAAACACCCTCACCAAATACTACTAAATGGCAGCTGAGTCGTTATTTTAATAAGGCACCTCAGCATCAGACGCCTACGCAAGATGTAGTATCACCTTCGGCGGGTTCAGTGGCAAATTCTGTAAATCCCATGAATGTGGCTAAAATCATTACACTAAAGGGCGGTGCTCAAATTATTCCCGAACAGTTAACAAACATAAAGAACGAGTCTATGCTCGACGATGATGATGAGGACGATGATGACAACGGAAATGACAACGTCAACAAAGACATAGACCGATCATCAAGAAGATCAAGAAATAAAAAGGATGGTGGCAAAAATGAGACATTCCAGCATCCGGACTTGGCTGGAGCAACTGCAGCTTTTCCTACAAGAAAAACGTCAAGTCTTTTGGTCACGCCATTGTCGCCCATATTGACTGACATCAAAAAAGAGTCATCTACATCGTTGGGCGGAACTTCCAGTCAACAGCAGGTGTCAGACTTTTTAAGTATGAACACAAATCAAATAAAACATGAAACAATGGTCATAGCAGGAGGTCATACTACCGTGACGCCATATGATGTCTTGAATCCCATTAGTACTCTATCATCCGACAGCAACTCGAATGATGAGGGTTCCAGAGAGCGTTTGCCGGTGCGAGGACCAGGAGGTACACTGCAAATACCCGGTGTTCCAGCGGCAATTACGGCTTTACCGCGCTCGCCACCCATAATGCAAAAAGCCCAAATGCCCAATACAGTAACAATGATACCATTGGGACCACTTTCCTCTGGCAGCAATGGCAGAGGGACAGCACCCATTGCACCCATACCACCTACGCCGACAAGGGCGAAAAAACCTCGCAAAAAACTGAAGCAGCAGCAAAATGCTTTATTGGCCCCTGATACCAGCGATGAAGAGTCTGACAATGCAAACAAGCAGCGTTTGACATCACCGCCAAGTGGAGCGGTAGCCAAAACCATGACAACTCCCGGTGGTACAAAGAAGGGCCGTGGACGACCGCGTAAAACCGCTACACCAAGCAGTGGCAACTCGAGTACAACTGCGGCCACAGGCCCTCCTGTTGTTGTAGTAACTGCCACCAAGGGACCAACTTTAACCGCCAAAAAAGATATCAACAAAAAACCACCACCAACTGCGCCAACAACAACGCCCACCAGCAAGGATTCGGCCACAGCAACAGCACGAAGAAGAATGTCAAGACTAAGTTCCACAAATTCGTTAGCTCTGCAAGAAGCCATGGCAGGACCTCCAATAACAACAACGCCAATTAAGCAGCAACTGCCTACAACCTCACCAGTTGCATTGAAAGCTACGCCGCCTCCACCGGTAATTGTAAAGACACAGATTAAAGAGACTGCATTAAAGACTTCCACTAGTGACGATTCCAGTTCATCATCGGACTCCTCGTCATTTTCAAATTCAAAATCTTCGTGTTCATCTTCCGATTCAGAAATAGAAGAACCAAGCAAAAAGCCCACGCAATCAGATGCTTATCCCTCTTTGACTTCGGACGACGACGACGATGAGAATACGGCCACAAAGGCTTTGCAAAAGCCCGGAGATTTAACATCCACCAAAGCGGTGACGGCAGCAGTGCCATCTTCTGCACACCTAAAACGGATTGTTAAGAAGCTCAATACGCGTAAATCATCTCTGGAAGACTTATCAACTGCATCTTCTACGAAGCTCAATAATATATGTTTGTCCTCACCATCCTCGTCTTCATCGGAATCGTCGGCAGAAGATTTCCTACCACCTGCAATTTTTGCAAACCAACAAACGGCAGCAGGTACTACGGCGGCAACCCAGTCGATAGGAGCTGCAGCAGTGGCTAGTAACGGTGCCGCCGGTACGGGCAGTGGAGGCTCCTCGCAACGTTCTGTGAACCAACAATCACCTTATAAAGTTTCAAGTGCTTTGTCCAACCGCAGCCGTAAACAAACACCATGTTCTAGTGCCTTTTCTTCTGAGTCCAGCGCAGAGGATAATTCCGACTCGGACTTAGGGGTGGCTAGGAAGGAAAAGGTAAGCAACGGTCGCATAGTTTTTTCCATTACCATTATGAACTTATATTAATCGTTTTTCTTTGCTTCTCGTCTCTTTAGAAACTCAAACGTGATAAACCCAAAAGTGATAAAAATAAGATCAGCACCCTGACCCGAATCTTTAAAACTTCCAATGAAGGCGGAGCTAAAAAGCAGGGTCAAGTCCTTATTGTAGACCAATCGGAAGAACAGCAGCAACAACAGCAAATTCAGAAACACATTTCTCCCGCCCTAAGAGGCTCACAGGAAAATCTAGCGGCAGCAGCAGGTCACACGCCCACAGCACAATCACCTCGTCTCACACCGGGCGGCCAATTGAGATCGCCCAGATCTTTGCCACCATTGGCTACTCAGGTTTTAACTGCAGGCTGTTTAATGGGTACGGCGTCGCATCGAACGCCCGACCGTGTTCCTTTCGATCGTGTGACCACAAGTGCTGAACGAAAACTACAACAGCGTATAAAGACACCAACGCGGACGCCAACACGAACTCCGCCCACCACAAGGACGCCCACACCTACACCTCCTATAGGAGCCGCCGCGGTTAATGCGTCATCTATTACAACTAATCCCACGCCTTCGGCCTCTCTAGCAACAGCGGCAGCGGGTACAGCAGGAATAGTACCGCCTCCATCATCATCACGTTTGCCAACTTCGCTTATATGCAAAATTGATCTCTCTCGTTTGTTACCTATACCCGCAGAATGGCATTCAAATACTTATCGTTTATACGGTCGTGATGCGGCAACAAATAGCCAACCCTATTTAACACCCGCTAGCGCTGGACGCACTCCCATTTATGATCACGAGACTATACTCAATGCGGATATGCATTCGTGCAACACGCAAATGCGTTTGAAGTCAGGCGGCAGCGGGAGTGTTACACCTCGTAGCACTGGCAATCGTACTCCATTGCAGGCCGGAGCCTCAATTACAGCCGAAAGAGAACTTTCCCATTCTCGAGAAAGTTTGCATGACATTGCCAAAGATATGGGCGTTATAAATCCCGGTCGTTTGAGCAGTCGTTCAACAGATGGCAGTATATGTGGCGGTGGTTCAACACCCAAGGACCTTGGTTCCCATCTACTACCTCCTGGTCCACCCAATGGTTACAGTTCAGTGACTGCAATGGCTAGGGGCTATGCTTCGCCTAGTAACTGTGGCGGCAAATTGGGTCCGATTGTTAAACACGAACAAATCATAAAACATGAGCCCGATGCCATGGATTATTCGGAGACTAAATTCAAAGCTGATGCTGCATCTACAGATCCAGCGGTGATCAAACAAGAACTCTTAATGCTCAAACAGGACTTCAAACCCAGTGATTTGGACAAAATGTCCGAAAAATCTTCGACAATTTGTTCACCAAATACTACTGACACAATGCAGCAGTTACTCGAGGCTAAACCAAGACGTAAGCGTAGTTCAAGTTCGAGTTCAAGTCCTTACAAGGAAAAGAAGCGAAAAAAGGAAAAGGAGAGGGAGAGGGACAAGGATAAAGAAAAGGAGAAAGACAACAAAGACAAGGATGCGAATGCGAATGCGGCTGTCACAAATATGTTTGGCAGTGTTGGTGCTGGCGTAAATGAAAAGGATAAAAAGTTAATGACAAATGACGCTGGCGATGTGTTAGAAAAAGCAAAAGATGTGATGATGGATTTCCTAAAACCCGCAACAAAAGATACTCTGGATGCTGAGCGTATAGATAATAGTACGCAAATGCAGGTATGTATCAAATTATAACTAAACCATTTTTAATTATTCAAAAAATAATTTCCCTTTATCGCAGTTTCCACCCACTAACCATGAGCGGTTAGAATCGGAAAAATCACATCCGCAACTACAAGTAGAAAAGCCAGAGCAACAGTCCGATAAATCGTATGGCAACAACATTGATAAGAGCAGTATGGATCATAATGCTCTCCCCGAGAACACCAGTACTACTGTTACAAACACTGCCAGTCCCGCGCATTTACAGATTAGCAATTTAACAACAATGGCCACGTCGTCATTAACTACTACATCAATTATGCCACCGCCAGCCAATGTTGGATTAAACACAACACACCCAACCGCAGAACCGGCTGTGTCAGGAACTTCTAATGCAAAAGCAATGTCGACATCAGATTCCAATACTACTACCCCAACAATGGTATCATCAACAACACCTGATGGCAACATTGATCCACCAAGCACAGCAACAACACCCAAAGTCATATACCGTTCATATTTCGAGCGGGACGAGGAAGCACTACACGATGAATTCAGGTTTGTTGCGGAATCATTTCTTGAATATTCGAACTCCACTACCTACTCCACCAAAAACAACAACAACACCACCACCGATAATCCATCCGTTTTGGCCAAAATTCAAAATTCTTCACCAAAGTAATCCAAACCAAAAAGTTTCACATTTTTTAAGTCATTTTCATTTCACATCCTATTTGACCTCTTATCTTGCCTTTAGTTTGTTTTAAGCAGAGAATACATTTTGTTAATTAACTGTTATTTTTCCAGCATAACCAAGGAAGGCACATTCCTGCAGGAGGCTATACAAAGAAAACATGCTGCCGATCGCGAACAAAATATCCTCAATCAGGTGGCATTATATTTAGAGGCTGTTGTCTATTTTCTCTTGTCCGGAGCTGCTATGGAACAACAAAGTCGTACTGAAGATCCAGCTTGGACTATGTACAAGGACACCTTGGTTTTGATTAAGTGAGTAAAGTGCATAGATTTCCTTTTCGTAAAACATTTAAGGGAATTGTAATTTTACTTATTTGTATTCTTCTCTCAATGTTTCTTTGCAGATATATTACTACAAAATTTCGCCAGTTGCAACAAGTGTCATCTGCCGATCAAACTAGTACCCTTAATAAATATGCTGTATTAAGGTAAAAATATGGCAAAACAATTTATATTTTTGTGGGTCTTTATTTGATTTCTTCCTTTCTGTTATAGTCTCCGCTGCCAATCCTTAATATCCCTCAAGTTGTTTAAACTCAAAAGAATTTCCTTTCGCCAAGTCAATACAATATGCATGGACTTCCTTAAATCCGGTAAAGGTGATATTATCAATGGTAATACTTCATCATCCATGTCTCCTTCGAATTCGGTATGTTCACAGGTGAGTTGCTTGTCGGGTTCTTCTTCAAAACAACCTCATACTCAAATGTAATGTTTGCTTTTAGGGTTCTGGTTCGAATACACCGCCTGGTAAAATTGTGCCTCAAGATATACACTCAGCTTTACAACAGCAAAATCAATATTTCCATTACCTAGCCAATAGTCACGAGCTATGGGAGCAAGCCGATCGTTTAGTAAAACAAAACAATCTTACCGGTATGTATTACCAAATTGCATATATATTTTAGGATCAATTTATTCTCAATTTTCATATGATTTCAAAAGCAGAAGAGCAAATTTTACTCGATACTAAAGAAAGTTCAGAGACCTTGTAAAAATATTACATTTTAAGAGATAGGTCGTGAGATGTGGAAAAAAAAGGGCAGTCAAGCGTGTGTATGTCAAGTGGTTCGAAGTTCAACCATGGTCGCCCCTTATACAGGGTGAGATAAAAAAAAAAACTTCAACAAAGTCAAACGCCATAATTTTTACATTTTTTTTTTTAAATTTTGTTGAATGAAAGCAAAAAATGTCGGAAATGGCATCTAATTTTAGAATCAATTTAGATTTTTTTGAATTGCTAACCTTTGGCACGAATTATGGCCTTCAAACGGCCAATGATACCGTCACACGCTGCCCGAATGTTGCTCTTCGCCCATTCCCGGCGAAGCGCTTGCTTGAGGTGTTCGACACATTGGTATTTTTTAGTGCCAACCTTGCTTCCAAATAATCCAATGGATTGTTATCCGGAGATTTTGCTGGCCATTGTGCGCTGGAAATGAAGCGAGGAACCTCATTTTGTAACCATTCTTGGGTGGCGCGTGTCGAGTCCTTTTGGAATGTCCAAGATCTGCGGCCAAAATGTTTGCATGCCCAAGGCTTTAATACACCCTCCAGAATATTTTCGCGATAATTATCGGGTTTTTATTCTGATGCTACGGTCGATTAATACGAGCGAGAGACCACACGAGACCATACCATCACCATGGCCGGCGCTTGAGTCCTCCGAAGCTGACCTCTTTGCAAAGTAAACATTTGAGTCTATTTTCTATCTGTTGCGGTGTAAATTCTTGCACTTTTTAGAATTTCAATGGCTTTACCCCGAGCTCATTTTTCAATATTTGCCGAATAGAATATTGCGATATGTTCACCTCACGAGTCATTTTTTGGCCACTGCGACGCGGGTTTCGATCAAGTCGCTTCTTTACTTTTCGAACCATTTCTGCGCATGTTGCTGTTTTCTTCCGTCCACTTCTTTGACGATGTTACGAGACACAATAGATTTAATCACATTTAAATGCTGAAGTGCTCTAACGATAGCCACTTGTGGTTTTCCAGCCAAATATAAAGAAATCTCATTATCACGCTTGAATTCCATCACGAAAATTCTCAACAAAATGCTTTTGTACGTTTGTAAACAATATAATAAACTCTCACTGGAATAAATTTAATAGCCACAGGACGAATGGCTTAGAAATGACATCAGTCTTGCTTGCAGTTTTTCATCACACCCTGTATATTAGTTCCCTCTGAAGCCAAACTATAACTGCTCTTAAGCCAAATGTTGATAGGTGATATGATCTACTTCAAATAAATTATTTTGTTACGGGAGCTCTACTAAATATGCATAGTGGTGTAGGGTATCATATAGTCGGCCCCGCCCGACTTTTGACTTTTCCTTACTGGTTTTATTTTAAAGGGTGTTTTTATAGACGATAGACAGGAGTCTCGCAAAAGGACTTAAATATAAACTTTGCAGACGATCTTTTGAAGAAAAAGAGTTCTATGGACGACCTAAATGGAATATTCATAGACTAGCAAAATTAATTTAAAGGTAATCTTTATCGACGAACGTAAAGACTTTTTTATGGTTCTTCGAGAGATGGTCTTAAGGAAGACTTAAAATGGAATATTCAAAGATGTGCCAGACGAGACGAGCTAAAAGAAGTATTTAAAGCTGGTAAGTAAGTACGTCTTTTAGACGGGCTAAGGAAGTCCCTCTAGAGTACCTAATTGCAATATTACCCAAATTATGTCAAATACCATCGTATATAAAAGATCATCAACTCGCCCCAATAGAGTTGATAAGACGAACTAATTGGGAGTCTTTATAGCCGACATAAAGGGAGGACTTTTAGAACACTAAAGGGAGTAATTGGTTTGGTAAGCCTAATAAAACGGATTTTAAGTTAGATGATTGAAGAAAGTCTCACAAAAGAACCTACATGGAAACTTTAGAAATAATCTTATACCGATCAACAACATGTTTTTATGAACTTCGAAAGAAGGTCGTTAGGAAGTCCTACAGGAAACATTCAAAGTCGTGTTGAAAGAAGTTTAATCTTCCAATGGAGATGTCCCCAATGTGCAAATAGACTATTCTGCTGCTGAGCATGACATCAATTCATTCTATGCAAAGCTGGGGTAGAGGGAGAATTTGAGATGTAACTAAAATTCAAGTTTTATTTTATCATTGCCAGTAATCTTTTGCCTTCCAAATTTGATAATTTTATAGGCTCTTAAAAAAACATACTTGGAATTCTAATTTTATCGATCGTAATTATTTAATACGAAATTTTATCCTTAATATTTTATTTGCAGACTTCTTCATTGCCTTGGATCATAAAAATGGTCCACTGACCTTGCACAGCAGTGTCTATGAAGTGTTTCGTTATGTACAAGCTGGCCTAAAGAAACTCAAAGATGGAATGCTTACACAATAATAACGACAACAAAAACAACAACTAGAACGGCAAACTACGTTAAATCACAACAACAACTACAACACAATTTACTTTATAATACACAAATCTTTTGCGCTGCTGTCAAAACAAATAGCTAGCAAAGAAGAAACAACTAACAACATCAAAAATTTCAATTCAAAAGAAAACTTGATTACATCACTCCAACAACAATCATCAAGAGTTTTAATTTAATTCGTAGGTTTCCATATTTTCCCCTTATTTATAATAACAAAAAGGATAAAAGAAAGAGAATTTTGAAACTAGAGAAAAAAGTTAGTAGCTTATGATTGGTTTTATGTACTAAACTAATGTAACTAAAACAATTATTATATATTTAAGAAGAAGTAGGAGAAGAATGAGGAAATGAAGATCACAACAAATGATCAAATGTGAGAAAGGTAATATGATTTTTAATTTTTTAATTTTGATTATTATAAAAATAGTAAAACAAGAAACTCTAAAGAAATATAATACTTTTAAGCAATAAACAATTACAATTAAAGTTTATTTTTTGTTAAATATGTAATATTATTATTATTATTAATACTATATACCATGATTATTATCAATTGTATTTTGTTTATTTAAAAAAACCACCACACATAACATAAGTCATTATTGTTAATATTAAAACAAAACATAACAAAAAAATGGGAAGAAAGCTAACAACATCTGGAGATTAGTAATTAAAAAAAAAAAACACATATATTAACAAAGTAAAAATCATAAAACGAAACATTATGATTAACAACAAAACCAATGCAAATGTAAATTTTTGTAACAAATTAGAAAAGCAAACAAACGAAAGAAACAAAACTTAAAAGCAACAACCAATTAGCATGTAATTTAATATAAATAAAACAAACAGAAGTAGTATCACTTATATACCCAGAAACCAACAAACAAAACAACACACACACACACACACAAATATGAAAACAAACAAAAACTAAAATTTACAAAACTTTAGCAATTTGTTTTTGTTTTTTTTTTTAAGATTATAAAACAGAATAAATGAAACAAGCCCTCATTAAATATTATTATTATAATTATAAAGAATGCTATAATTTTAAAGACATTTTTGAATGTATGTTACCCTTTAATTTTTTTGCTCTTTCAATTATTAAATAATTCTTATTATTATTATTATTTTAGTTAAAATAATTACTAAAACAATTTTGTTTACATTTTGTGTCTAATAAATAAAAAAAAGTCATAATTATTTTTATTATTATTATTGTATTTAATTATAAATAAAATAATAAATTCAAATGTTTTATAAATATGCTCAAATTATTAAAAATTAAAAAATTTTTTAGTTTAATAGTCTAAACAAAATCGCATGCTATTTTTCCTGGTTCAATAACTGAATGTTTTTCTTGTTTTTTTAATACATAAAAAATAGGTACTATTGTGTGTGTGCATTAAACAATTTTTTGGAGAAAAAATAGGGATTTTAATAAAAAAGATTTCTTAATGTTAATATTCTGTTATCGAATAGTTATTTTACAAAAGATATTTTTTGCTATCAAATTTTGATAAATTACTACCGCCCTCTCTCTTATGAAGATAATTGAAGCAATAAAAGAAAATTGTTCCAAAACTATTCTAGCAGTTTTCAAAGCATATGTTTTGTAAGTCTTTGGAGGATATGTTCTGTGACTATGGGACACATACAGGATGAGATAAAAAAACTGCAACAAAACTCTGGTTTACACTTTTGTTTCAGCGGGTCTTTTAAGTAGTTTTAAACCTGTGCCTGAAATCCTTGAGGGCAATCTGGAAAAAGTTATTATAGATTGCCTGAAGAGACCTTTTCTGACGTGCTAAATAGAGGAGACGTGCTAAGCGTTTAATGATTGCATTTTGACAGAGTACGCCAGCACAGGAAAAAAAGGAAGGCTAAGCGAATGTTTTCGTACACGTGTTAAATGTAGACTTTGTGGTCATCCTACCTAAAAGGGGGTATTTTATAGATGATAATTTTATTGAAGGTGAATGGTGTCCTTATAGACGAGCGAAGGGATTCTTCAGATGCTGGCTAAATGACGCCTTTTTGGACCGACTAAAGAATGTCGTAAATAGTCTTATTTCGGCTTTGCGAAATTGTTTTAAAACGAGTTCTTTCTTTAAACGCGGAAAGGTGGGAATTACCAGAAGCAAATTTTTATAGAGGCCTGAACGATGACATCCTTCAGACTATTTAAACAAACTTAAAGCAGGCTTTACAGACAACACACAAAGGAAGATAAGAAGAGAATTTTTGCAAAATATATAAGAATATAAGAAATTTCAAATCTCGGTCTATCTATTCAACGAACTCCTTGTTATTGCAGAGAGACAGGTTGCCGATCCTCAGGACAATTGATGCAAATTAACATTTTGACAGTTGGTCATTTCTGCCGAAATTTTCAATTAAATTAAGCTTAAAATGTAAAGATTTGAATGCGAGATTTTGGCCCCGATTAAAGCTTGATTAATTTAAAAATTTCATTGGAAGCGACTGATTATTAAATGTCACAATTCAACCCTAGCTGTAGGGTGAGATAAAAAAACTGCAATAAAGTCAAACGCCATAATTGTACATTTTTTTTAAATTTTATTGAATAAAACAAAACGTGTCGGAAATAGCATCAAATTTTAGAATAAGTTTAGATTTGTTCGAATTGGTCTCCTTTTGGCACGAATTATGGCCTTCAAACGTCCAATGAAACCGTCACACGCTGCCCGAATGTTATTCTGCGGTATTTTGGCTTATTCGTGGCGAAGCACTTGCTTGAGGTGATCGACACTTTGGTATTTTTTAGTGCCAACCTTGCTTTCCAATATACTCCAGACACAATAGTCCAACGGATTGGTATCCGGAGATTTTTGTGGCCATTGTGTGCTGGAAATGAAGCGAGGAACCTCATTTTGTAACCATTTTTGGGTGGTGCGTGCTGAGCGTGCGATATAGTTTCTTTCTGTTGCGGTGTAAGTTCTTGCACTTTTTGGAATTTCAATGGCTTTACCACGAGCTCATTTTTCAATATTTGCCAAATGGAATATTGCGATATGTTCAGTTCACGAGCCATTTTTCGGCCACTGCGACGCGGTTTTCGATCTAGTCGCTTCCTTACTTTTCGAACCATTTCTGCTGATGTTGCTGTTTTCTTCCGTGCACTTCTTTGACGTCAGGCTACGCTACCAGTATCAGGGTAACGAGCGATGCTACGAGATACAAAAGATTTATTCACATTTAAAAGCTGGAGTGCCCTAACGATATCTACTTGTGGTTTTCCAGCCAAATATAAAGAAATCACACTATCACGCTTGAATTCTATCACGAATGAGTTTTTTTTTTTTTTTTGAAAATTCTCAGGAAAATGCTTTTGTACGCTTGTAAGCAATATCATGAGCTGTCACTGTAATCATTTTAACAGCTGTCGGACGAGTGGCTTAGAAATGGCAGCAGTCTTCAGTTGGTTGCAATTTTTTCATCTCACCCTGTATTTATAAATCTTTTACTTATCGTCATTCGCAAAATGCTCATACCGAAATTAATTTTCTTTTGAAATTTGTTCAATGTCGATTGCGGGAATTCGATGTCAGCTTAAGTTGGTGGGTGTGGGAAATTCCACTCGAATGAACATTTGAACATTCTTGGTTTTTGAAAATCCTAAATTATGTGCCAGATAGGAGGCCCTAATTTCTAGAGTCTTTGCAATACACAAAATATTGTGTCGGATTCCTTACATTAGGATCTTTATTTGAAGCTATGAACAAACATAAATCCATGCACACACACATCAAGCTATTTTATCATATTCGTTGTTTTTCCTCCTACATTTTAGTATGATATTTAATTTGTTTTGATTTGAATGCTGTAGATTTTTTTATATTACAATTAAACAAAAGTCAATATAATTTTATTTAGTTAAATCATTTTTTTAAATAAATGCAAACAACTTCATTTTTAGAGAATTTCCTTTTAAAACATAAGGATTACATTTTAAGTCCATAAAAACTTCTAAGATAAATTTGCTATATTTTTTCTATAATATTAATATTGTAATTAAAATGACTATGATGATTTTGTTAGTCAATCAATTTTAAATTATTATTAAAGCTACCGTTTATTTTTCTAACCAAACAGAAAATCTATTTTATTGTTAAATTTGTTTGCCTATCTACCATTATTATTATTATTATAATTTCTTTCCTTCATATGGCAATCTATTATTACAGTTATTAAGTAAATATTGCATATATATTTAATTTAATTTTATTTTGTAAAGCATAACAAATCAACAAATGGTGGATATTTGGATTTGTATACTCTCTTGATTCTTATTATCATTATTATTATTATTTTTTAAATTGTTAAAATATCTATTTTGAATTATGTCATAAATAAATCATTATGATAACATAACAAAAAACATATTATAAAAAAATTAAAATTTTTTAATTTCATTTTATGGGAAGTAATTGAATGGGTAATTTGTTTTTACTTTTTTAATGTTTTTTTCTTTTGTCTATTTTTCAAAAATATTTCCTTGGTATTTCTTTTGATTTGTTCTCAATTATTTGGAAAATTATTTCTGTTCATTGCCAGTATTTCAATCACTATGGAACAATTTCAGAATCACAATCTGGTTGATAAGGTGAGTTTTTATACCCTACACCACATAGTGGTAAGGGTATTATGTCTTTGTACATTCGTTTGTAACAGGGAGAACGAAGTAAGATAGACCCATAGTTACTTCTGAGGATATTCATAGAATAACTTTCTGGGTCGATTTCAGCATTTCAGTCCGTCCGTCCGGCTATGTATTTTTGTGAACAAAATGCAGGTCGCATTTATTATCGGATTAAGATAAAATTTTGCAAACAATATTGGTTTGTCCCAAGGACGAACCCTATTGAAATTGGTGATAATGGGATCAGGTTTATATATATTATATCTTCAACCGATTTCGGGTTAATTGTGGATCAAATGGCCAATATAAGTCCTAATGACCTGAATTTTGGTGAATCTGACCAAATTCAGTCTATAAGCAAGTATATCAAATTTGGTGAAAATTGATTAAGACATAGTTATAACTCCCACATATATATGTTTCATCCGTCTTGGTTTTTAAATCCCTCATATTCGTAATATGCATTCGACAACAATGATATTTGGTACAATATATCTTATAGAGCTCAGAAATACTTTTGCCAAATTTTATCGGGAACGGCTAAGATTTGGATATAGCTCCCATATATATCCTCAATCCGAATTCAGGTTTATTGTGCAAATAATGGCTAATCTGATATTAGCCAAATGGAGTGACTTTCGGGGCGTACGTGTCCATTTTGTGGAACTCGGTTCCGATATACATTTTTTTAATATAATCCTTCTCGAAGTGATATCATGCACTCTATAGCAATATTATTTGGTGTAAAGGATTAAAATGTCTCTGTCAAATTTAGTGAAAATCGATTCAGAATTGGATATGCCTTCTATATATTATTTACCTCTGAAACCAAACTGTAACTGCTCTAAAGTCAAATGTTGATAGGTGGTATGATCTACTTCAAATAAATTATTTTGTTACGGGAGCTCTACTAAATGTGAATAGTGTTGTAGGGTATCATATAGTCGGCCCCGCCGAGAGTGAAAACTATACAGTCCCGCTTGATAGGCCTGTTGATCTAGACTCTCTATTCTACATCTGGATTCTCTAAATCATCAAGATCTTTTCCTACATGCCTGAACCAAGGCTGCCCATCCACCAAATGGTGTTTGAGATGGCTGGGACTCAAGAGTGCAAAAGTTGTGCCGGTGCGTCTCCTCATGAAGAGTGTCATAAGGAGTCAACCTGTTTCCGTTCTAAGGGTGACATTCAGGCAGGATTGAATGCTTTTCCATTGCATATGAGCATAGCTAACCACAGACCGTCCAATTCATAGCTATAAAAGAGATCAACAAGGTATCCTTATTCGTGGCCCAAGGGATGCTGGCCAGCCCCTTAAGGAACTTGTTCTTAGTTTTCAATTTATTGCAGGCTTGCATGAACGACTTAAGCATGCTTAAGCCATTGAAACTTGGATCGCGGTCAGTATTATGTGCCCCTCGACCCATACATTCAGACATTCAAGGCATTGATTTGCCAGCTTCCTAGTCATAGTAACCTCCATGAATTCTGACATTCAAGGCAATCTGGCCATTGATTTGCCAGCTTCATGGACATAGTAACCTCCAGTGCAAAAGAAGCAGCGAACAAACTCCATTAAAGTGAGATCGAATGTAAAAATTTCAGAATCCATAGAAAGGACGAGATTTATTTTATATTATTGGTTCAAAAAAATCTCTATTAGGTTAAGCTTGAAGAAACTAGCATTTGGAAACCGGTTACAGGGTATCTAAGGCCATTTATCCGGTAATCTCGGCTACTTTAGTAGGCATGCTGACTGACCACTGCAGATATCTGACTTCAAGATGAAATAGCAGTGTTCCTGACTACAGTAGACTATGTAAAGACGGACAAAAGGTAGAGACCATTTACCAGATGTCCCAATGTCATCCAACAAGAGACGTATGCTATTTGGCAGGTTCATCTTAGACATAGATTTTGGCATTAGAAGTTCGTAATGAATATTAGAGCCTATGACAGAAAATTGTCTGTGCAGGACCACGTCTTCGTATAATCCCAATACAATCGTACCTCCCTATATTAGGTATTTTGATGATTTCACCACATTATTCACCGAATTTTTTTCAAGTTTCGCATTTGAATATTGTAATGGCTTATGACAAAAAGCCATAGGCACCAGGGCCACGTCGTCATATAGACCCTAATATAACGGCTACATTCGTTATTTTTAAGATTTTTGCAGAATTTTTAACGGATTGTATTTTTGAAAATTGCCAAATTCGTTCCAAATCGTGGAGGGCATTTAAAGTTCGGCCCGGCCGAACTTACAGCTTTTTTAATTGTTCTCGTTGGTATATCTCACCTATCACTAACAACTTTATTGGTCATTGGATACAAACAATGCACTAAAGGTCTCCGAGTGAACCAATTGCCAACTCTCGTGCAGCTGCATGTGATATATGAATAACAGCGACACCTCTCTACAGAACGAAAAATAAGCGATATATATGCATGTTCCATTAGAGTAAGGATAAAATCATCATCTGATCCTGGAGATTAAATTGCTTTAAAATTATTAATCACAACAAAATGTTCTTCTTGGCATTATTATTGCTTCCGAAAGACTTGGAATTCCTTCAAAATATTCTATAACATTCGGACATGCCAGTGAATTCTATCAACTCACTGGAACATTCACATGACATAATTTCCCAATGCAATAGAATCTGATCTTCAGGTTAGTTGAAAAGACATGGAGCTGCCTTATAGGTTCAAGAACGCATAGCTGCCTAGTCGGAGGAGACCGTTTGGGACATTGTCTCTGAACACTCTCTCTCTCTCTCTCTCTCTAGGTCTCTGCAATTTTAATTTTTTATGGTTATAAGCACAAATTTCCAAAGAAATTAATTGCAATTTGTATTTGATTGTTTTATTTTAAATTCCATTGCATGTGCTTTATTATTTTGATTATACCTTAAAATAAAAACAAAAAAAGAAACAATTAAATTGTAACTGATAGAAAAGAAATCAAATTAAATTGCGCAATCTCGCTTACGACAGTAATGGAACATACAACTCAAAAAGAATACAACAACAAATAGTAATAACAAAAGAATATTGCAAAGAGAAAACAAAAAAAAATGAAATGAGATATTGTTAAATTGTATAGTAACATTTTTTAGGATAATTATTATACATACATACATACCTATATATACGATTTAATCAATATAAATAAATCATATATATTTTTTATATAACTTGATACAATACAAAATAACAACAACAAGAAGAAGAACAACAACAATTAGTAATTTGAAAAAAAATAAATAAAGAAAAAAAAACAGTTATACAATCGTTTTTGTTTCATTTCTGTTCTTGATCATAAATAATTTAATAAGCCCCCTCCCCACACATACCTATATATTTTGTAGATGTTTTCATTACAAATAAATCCTGAAAATTACAAATCACATCCCCCAAAGAATTATGAATATTTTGTACAAATCTATATATAAATAAATTACAACAACAAAACACTTAATATAAGATTCAGAACATTTACTGGACAATATGTGTAATGTGTATTGCAACCAGTAGATGAGATGATATGATAGGGAATGTTCATTGACCCCTCCTCTACCCCCAAACCTAAACCAAACAACTTTAAGCAAATATTACTACAAAACTATTATTGATATGAAGGATAACAATAAAGAAGAAACAAAGTAAACTTATTAATTATTAAAATAAATAATAATTAAAAGAAATAAAACAACCATTAATTTTAAGTTTGTAAAAAAGAGAATAATAGAAATAACTAATGTTTAATAACAAACATTTTTGATTTACTCACAAACCAAAAGAAAAAAAAAAACAAGAACCGTAGTTGTTTAATCAAAAAGGAGACAAACCCGAAAAAATGAAAATAAACGATGACGAAATCGAAAAATATATACTATAAAATATAACAACAACAAGTGTATTTTTATTATACAATTGGGTTGGTTTTAAAGCGAAAATAGTCGTGCCAACTGGAACGAGTTTATAAAATAAACAAGTAAAAAGCAGCTAAGTTCGGCCGGACCGAACGTTTGTACCCCACACTATTCGGAAGGAACTTAAAAATGTTAAAAAAAAAATCCGCTAAAAAATACCTCTCAAATGAAAAACTTCATATGGAAGCTATACAAAGACGTGTTGCTGCACAAGTAGTTTTTTTGTCATAGGCTGTAGTAACGATTCCGAACATTAAAGACGAAACATGAAACAGTTCTGGTGAAAAATGTCGCGAATATCATCAAAATACCGAATAAAGAGAGGTACCATTGTATGAGGTCTATAGAAAGACGTGGATCTGCACAGATCATTTTCTGTCTTAGGCTGTATTACCATTGCGAACTTCAAAAACCAAATTTGAAACAATTCCGGTGAATAATGTCGTTAATATAATAAAAAATACCGAATATCGGGAGGTACCGTTATATGGGGGATATAGACGACGTGAACCTGCACAGACAATTTTCTGCCCAAGGCTGTAGTATACATTACAAACTTCAAATACCAAATTTGAAACAATTCCGATGAATAATGTCGGTAAAATAATACAAATACCGAATATCGGAAGGTGCCGTTATATGGGGGCTACACGAAGGTGTGGACCTGCACAGACAATTTTCTGTCTTAGGCTCTAGTATCCATTACAAACTTCAAATTCCAAATTTAAAACATTTCCGGTGAATAATGCCGCCTAGATCACCAAAATACCGAATATCGGGAGGTACGGTTTTATGGGGCCT